CAGCTAGTGCAGATAGCCCTCATGTAGCTTTGCAGGAAATTCATAACAAACAACCATTATCCTCTCTTGTGACTGAAAATTCCCACTTCACACTGCATCTGGAGAAACTGCCTCTGTAAGTGTGAGAAGGTCTCTCACATTCAAGTGATGATGCAACATAAACTTGTCAATGAGGGTATTCTTGTGAACAACTGAGGCTATTGCAAGGTAAGCTTACCATGCAAATGGTGCACATCATCCATATAATTGGTTAAGCTTTCTGTGGTACCTTTCTTTCAAACCCTGGCTTTCGATCAGTATAATGCTCTATTTATAACTGGGTTAAATCTCCACTGCAACTCAGTAATGACTGTTTTGAAATCCTACAGTTGCTTCTTATTTAATTGCTCAATGGGATCTAGTTGAATGCTGGCAGAATTGCTTTGCCTCACTCACAAGAAATCACGATCATGGCCAGACCCTTTCCTTCATGACTTCCGAGCCATTATCTGGCAAAGATATCTATCCTTGACACTGTGGTACAGCATTGTAGGTTCTCTCAGAGACCCCAACATTGTGATGAGCAGTAGGCCCATGCTCTAAGGTGGTAGAATGACAAACTGCATTTCACAACTCATTCATCAGATCTGCAAGACCCCAGGCCCCTTCATGGTTCATGGCTATCTAGGCATATACTTCCCAACTTGGAAAGGCTCATCATGCCCACAGGTCCATAATCCATTCAAATTGCCATTTGGTACCCACCATCTCACATGTTGGTGACAGAGCTCTTGTTGGCAAACATCATCTATCAATGGCTCCTCTATTCTCTCTCCAATGTTTGACTTAAATCGCAGCTGATGACTTATACTCTGGCTGGTATAAGTCTGGAAGTTCTATACAAACTGCCACACTTGGTCTTACCTTTGCTAGATGCCATACCATACCATACAATGGGATAGATCTGCTTAAAAACAATAGATTCAATCAGGATACTGATTAAAAAGTAATATTATATCTTAGAGAAACTAAGTCATGAGAATGAATGAAATGAATAGATTGGACACAAACTGAAGCACAAAATGTTATATGGATTCAGCATGATCAGTTGAAGACAGAATATCCACTAAAATCAAATATCCCATGGCAATAAAGCAAGTACACACACACATATTGTTTGAGTTTTATACGTGATAGACTGACTTATTCCAGCATTCTTTACTTTGCAAGAAACATCTTATTTACCAGTGTCTAGTGCTTCTCACATGACTGGTCATTCTTGTTCAAACATAGATGAGGGCAGAATTTCTAAATATTGCCTGTACTACCATTGAAGGACACTGCTGTTGACATTCTTGCACAACATACAGTATTGCAGCAATTGACCATGGACAGAACAGGTAATATATACAAAAGAATAACAAAGGCAGCTAGAACAAAATCAGCTTATTGGCTTTCAAAACCTTGTATTATGTGAAATCTGCACACATACAGAATAAATTATAAATTTAGAATAAATACTATAATAATAATAATACAAGAAATAGAAATGCATGGTATATTCATATACTACAGTAGTTCCATTGACCAACATTCTGGGTTAATGAAAACCCTGAAATACACTGAAAATTTGAAACATTTATCTGGTAACTGAGGAATAGAAAATGTATGATATGCCACCTGCATATCACACTGGTGTGAAAAAACATAAATTAAACATGAATAAACACTATTTCATACATGAAACAAAATGGAAAGATACTTTCACTTTGAGTTTACTTACTGGTTATAAGTATTATTTTATCACAAATTACAGCTTTAAGAAAGAATTGTGATCAATTATGTGATCATTCTCAAGTACACAAGTTTAAATTTGAAACTTGTGCATGTGAGAATTATCTCAACAGTGATCGAAATGTCATACATGCTCTAAAAATATTCTTCTTTACTGTTAAACAATAGCTTGTAATAAAATAATAAAATGAAGAGATCCATTTAAAATAAGTTTTAAACACATCAGTCTCACAATGATTCAGCATTTCATATTTATATCGATTAGTCTTGCTTTGTTCAGATACTGAGTTGAAATGGTAGTGCCAACTATAACTATAAAAAACATATAGGATTACAACAATTAATTAATGAAAATGAGAAACGTTAAACCTGAGTGCCTTCTGAAGGACCTTTTTCAGGGGTAAATGGTACAAATTATGTTATTTTTAAGAAAAATGCACCTACTCAAAGCATTCTTTATTTTTTATTATTTACCTCAGAAGAAGGAAGGTTTAAGGATTTTTTGTTTTAAATATGTAATAAGTTTTCCTTTGAGATTGTTATATTTATATAAACCTGTGGAAAATGTCATCCAAATTTCTTAACATCCTTACAAAATCAGATGATAAGTTAGTTTACTTAAAATGTTTTAAGAGAGCATTTATTAAAGAAATAGTTTGAGTTGATGTTGTGCATCTTACACTTTTCAGCTTCCTTAATTTACAAATATGGCATATAAGATTTGTTTTGCATATGGCATGCTTTATATCAGTCAATTCAATATTTAACTGAACGTGATTGTATAATACTGTGGTATATTCGGAGGAATTGAATATAGTTTTGAGGTTTACGTCATAAACCTGCTTAATAAGAGATTAAACCAAGAGGTGGTGATACAGAACAGTGCTTAATTTATACTTAGTGAGTTTTAAGCTAAGGAACAAATAGACTGAATGCAAAGTGTGACACACAGTGACAACAATTTTATTTTTGTTATTATTTTTTTTATTTTTTGTTGTTATTGTTTAAGACAAAAGCACATTGTGTACTTGCTTAGGTTGAACTTTCACTGGTTGAAAACTTAATGAAAAGCATTTCAAAACTAACTATAAGAAAGTTTTCTACTTAAAATAAAACCTTGTATTCACCTAGTATGACTGTGATACCATATGACATAGGTTTCTAGATATTATATTAAAACCAGTGAAGGACATTTCTCACAACATCCTGAAACAAGATCACTTTAACCAATATTCTCCACAGGTGGTAATAGGTATCACCTAATTTTAAAATGACAGAAGTACAAAAATAACTTGAAACAATATTGACTTAATGTTTTTTCTTGACCATGTATTATGAGAAAACCTGAACATATACAGAATTAAGAATGAATTCAGGATAAGCATAAGTACCACAGAAAGTTATGGTATATTCCTATGCCACAATACAAAGCATTTTTTGTGGTTTATATATATACATCTATATTTCAGGACTGCATTGGAAAACAGAGAAGCTTCGAAGACCGATTGGTGGTTTTATGTCAACGGCTTCTTGGTGGAACTTGGATCCAAGGGAGTGACACTATTGTTCTAGAGACTACTTTTCGACCTGATCTCACTTTACTTCATTTGGCAGCAGCTCTTGGTTACAGCCGATTGATCCATACCCTCCTGCAGTGGAGAGCTGGAAACCCTTCACTTATCCTCGAGTCTGAAGTTGATGCTCTTAGTCGAGATAAGAACAACTGTACTCCTTTAGTAAGTTCAAATACAACACCTTCTGTGTAAAGAATTATTAATATGAGAAATGTTGATTATGCAACAAATTCCTCAACGTATTGTGTTTTATTATGAAACCATATATAGCCTAGAAATTTAAGTCCACTCATGGTATATGCTTATATATGCTTATTTGTGCAAATGTATTAATAGAAAATATTTTCATTACATCTAACTTTTACATTGCTCTGAAACTGAAAACTTGAGATTGTTAAAAAGTTAATTAGTTTTATGAAAGGAATAATGTAAATACTGTAAATTTTGCATTTTTTTATTTTTTTAAATTGTTAAACAAACACAAGTTAGTTTTGTTTAAGAAGTTTTCGTTTTAATCAGTCTATGATCTTTTCAAACACAGATCAAAATTCATTTATAATCATTAGATACAAAGGTACACATTTGCAGACAGAAATAATATTTCCATATTTTATGATACTTATATTTACATTAGATAGTGGAAAAGAAGATATGTACTACTAGGAAAGAATTATAAAATAATTTAATTCCACTATTAACCTCAGGTTCATCCAACCATAAATTATTCATCAAAAAAATTTTTGGACCCTAAATAGGACACCTGTGGTTGGTACAGCACAGATGGCCCATTGAGTAGCTTTGTGCTTAACAAAAAACAAACAAAAGACTGAAGAGGCAACCAAATTTAAACAATAACCTTAGTACCTTTCAACTATCTATATTTTAAATAAATGCTTTTTTTCTCCTACACAAATAAATCCCAACTTTTGTGTTCCTTTGACAATTTAGATATATATATTCAGTAATTTTTTTATATTTCTTTTTTGTGATATACTTACTTAACTTCTTTGTATGACAAAATTTTTCATGCCCATATTTTGTGTCATCTTTAATTTATATATTTTTATAGGTAACTGACAATGAAATTTGTGTATTCTGAAAAGTTTGTGTTTATTACACTTGTTGCAGTAGTACTTCTGTTTTGTTTTTTAATCTATTGTTCTTTTGATAATTAAGTAAGCTAATATTTTTTCAATGAATTTATCTTTTAATATTATTAACAAAAGTGGATTTTGATGTAATTTTACAGTTGTGGGCCTGTGCCAAAGGTTGCAAGGAAGTTGCATTATTTTTGTACCAGTGGAATGCATTGGCAGTCAAAATTCAAGATGACCCATTGACCTTTGCTCATCAGAGGGGCCATCAAGAGCTAGCAAAACAAATTAAACATTTAGAAGAAACTCAGAATTCTCAAGATAGGAAATCAAGGTAAGTATTTCTTCCAAGGTAACTTCTACTTTTGTTTAACATCTTCTTTTTATTATCATTCCCTACATTAAATCATGAATAACTATGTTTATTGATAGCTTGTTTATGAACAGCTTATAAAGTCTCTTACTATTCACAGGTACAGTCCTAAATATCTGTCTCTTATGGAAGGCAACTTGGAATCTTCTAACTTTGATTTCTCTGCTTGTCCAACTCCTAGTGAAATATCAAGTAATACCAATCTCAGAACAACTAGTTGCTCAAACTTGTCATTACCAATACTGAATCCTATACCTAATGTGAAAACTATCAGGAGAAATGAGCAATCAAACACTTGCAACATGTTGTTGAATAATCAATCTTCTAGTAATGAAAATGTCTACCCAAGGATGACTATATCTGATGGTTTATCTAAACCAGCAATAAACAAAATGGAAGTTTGCAGGACTTCATTTTTATCTCAGATTGACCAGAGTTTATCTTTGCCATTGCCTAGTTGTCCTAATGTATTCACCTCCAGGACTGGAGAGAGAGGCTGTATTTCTTCACCTGGACTGATCGATATAGGTATGTTATATATAAACAGACAGTCAGAATATAATCTGGACTGATCAATATAGGTATGTTATATATAAACATACAATCATAATGAAATCTGGACTGATCAATATAGGTATGTTATATATAAACATAAAGTCATAATGTAATTTGGACTGATCCATGTAGGTATGTTATATATAAACATACAGTCAGAATGTCAAAAAATGCATAGTTTCAATGATTCTGTTGTTTAGTCCTGAATCTCAATGTTGCATATTCTTGTATACATTAAGTCATTTTTCCAGAATACTGTTAAGAAACACATTTCAGTTTCATATTCTATGATTTTTTTGCATATTTATTACTGAATATCATTATGATGAGACAGTGTATGGTATTCTTTATTCTTATATTGATTATCTTGGTGTTTATCTCTTCTTGATTATTATTAGGAGAGAGAGTGGCCAAAAATTAGAGTCCTTACCTTGATCCTATTGGTATTTCAGATAAAGATTGCAACAGCCAGGGTCTTACAGTGGCTAAAAGTAAGTAATCTTATTATATATCAAATAAGGTGAATGTAAAACTGTTGTTTACACAGGATTAAACTATGGCTTGAGAACATTGGAATAAGTATACATGTTGTTAGATGTGTAACTTGACTTATGTGAACACTCGGGAAAAGTAATATACAACTTCAGCCTTACTGATAGTAACAGATAAAATAACTTTTACAATTGAATATAGTAAAGTGATAACCTCACCTTACAGTAATCCTTGAAAGAAAGTTTTAGTTTAATACAGTAACTGAGCTTTTTTGTAATGGGGCTGCACCAAAGTTTCTAGATCATTCTTTATATTGAGACTATTTGACTATGAGAATGGGAATATTATAATAACTAAAAATATGGTACTTTCCAAATCACTGTTCAGCAGTATGAAAGTTTTGAATGATAAACATACTAATTTAAATCCTATTCGGTGTATTTTAATTCTTACTAAAAATGATAAAATATACTTAATACTCTTAAAAACTTAAGTTTGAAACTAAATTCATTTTGAAATTAGGTTGCTTTGAACAGTCATAATGTAAACATAAAATAATGAATGTAGGTTCTTGAAAACAATTATATATGGAATACTAATTATTCATTAGTGGCTTTGGAGTTAAAATGGGCATAATGGACTTACAACACTAAACCTGAGTTTTGATTTGCTATGGTGGGCAGAGTGCAAATAGCTTTCCAAAAAATAAATTTATTGTTTTATATAAATGTTTAATGAAAAACTAAAAAGCTTTTGGATGTAATTCTATAACTACACTGTTCTCCAAAAACTGCAAATATAACAATACAGCATTTTATATGAATCTGTATGTGTTGCAAGACCAGAAAGGCCATGTAATATTTACATAATATCTAAAGTTATGAAATTGGATTTTCATCATGTATATAATAAAATACTATTATTGAAGATAATCTTCTTTTGTTGAGCAACAGCATATTTATTTTGTTTTACAAATAGCCAATATTACTTGTAGAAATTCAGTTAGAAAAATAAACTTTAGTGTTTGTTAGCAAAATTTTGCTCCTTGTGTTATATTCAAAGATATTACCTAAATCATCTATAATTACATGTTATACTAGAACAATACAAGGGTTAATCAAACTTTATAAGAATGATTTGCATCTGCTAATGTGATAGCATGTCATCACACAGCAAGCCATTAGTGCCACAGGTGACATTTTTTTCCTTATGGTAAATTTTTGACCATTCAAAAGTGACAGCCCTTTCGAAAGAAGAATATTTATGTATCAAGATTGTTCAGTAAAGTGTAGTCAAAGGACACAAAATTTGAAGAAAGAAGCCTTTACTATTCTCCATTAAAACAGAAAAACATGCATTGTTGAGCCATTTAGGATATCAAAAGACTTTAAAACCACACACCAAACAATGGAGCTATGTATAAATCATGGTAACACTAATAAGGAGTTGGAATAGGCAATGGCTTACAAGCCAAAATTTAACAAGCTTCCAACTATTCCTCAAAACCAGCAGCTGTTTTCATGAGAAATATGGCTAAATGGACTTGAATCAGAACAATTCTTTTCAACCTCATATCTGTTAAGGCCCATAATGCAGCTCCAATAAATACTTGTGTGTTTGATGTGCTTAGACGTGAAAGCAATACTACTGGAAGATCTGTAGAAATTTTTTAGAGATTTTATATGGTCTTATACTGGCTCCACTGTCCATCTTAGAAGTTCATTACAATGGAAGTTGTAGTGTAAAGAATTAGTGCATAATAATAGTCATCAGTCTGAGTACTACCAACAATGAGAGAAGTAGTTCCAAGGGAAATATAAAACCTGGAACATCATTCTTATAAATTGCAATCAACCCCTCAGTAATAAAAGATTAAGATATCCCTAAAGGGAGAAAAGAATCAGATTATACTACCCAGAGACACAGGTGGAGGATATAACTGACAGAGCAAGAGATATAATAAAGGGGGCTAGCAGAAATGAAGTTTTTGTAGTGCGTGTAGGGGCTAATGATGTAGGGAAAGGTAGAACAGAGAACTCAATTAATAAATACAAGGGGTTGATAAAGACATTTAAAGAAAATGTCCATAATTTAATTTTGTCAGGGATACTGCCCAGAATTAATTCTGGAGGTCAGAGGAGTCAATTAATAAATACAAAGGGGTTGATAAAGACATTTAAAGAAAATGTCCATAATTTAATTTTGTCAGGGATACTGCCCAGAATTAATTCTGGAGGTCAGAGGAGCCAATTAATAAATACAAGGGGTTGATAAAGACATTTAAAGAAAATGTCCATAATTTAATTTTGTCAGGGATACTGCCCAGAATTAATTCTGGAGATGAAGTTATAAGTAGGTCAGAGGGGCTAATTGCTAGGCTTAGGTTAGTATGTAAGGATGAGCAAATTGGCTGGTTGGACTTGTGGGATCAGTTCAGTGGAAAAAGGGAGCTTTTTGGAATGGATGATTTACATTTAAATAGAGTAGGGCCTGGCTTGTTTGCTAAGATTATTAACTCAGCTGTAAGAGAATTTTTAATCTTGGACTAGAATGTGGTGAGGGCCAGGAAAAACTGAATGCAAAAAAAATAAGAGGCAGAGAAAAGTTTTGCATAGAAAACGAGTATAGAAGTAGTTATAAGTGTAGACTTAATTGTTACTATTGTAATGCTTGAAGTATAAGAAATATAACAGATGACTTTAGAACAATGGTAGCAATGGAGGATTTTGATATAATGGGAATAACTGAAACATAGTTCAATGTAGATGATTTTGACAACAGAAATATTTTTGAAATACAGGGTTACAGGCTATTTAATAGGGATAGAGTATTAAAAAGGGGGAATGGCTTTATATGTAAAATGTGAGTTACATCCTGTTGAAGTTGAGGATATCAAAGATAATAGCAAAGAGATTGAATCTATTTGGGTTTCTACTAGTGGATTTAAAGGGAAAAGACTTTTAGTGGGAATTTGTTACAGACCACCAAATGGTACTAATGAAATTAGTGAGAAACTTTACAATGAGATTAGGATTTCAGCCATTAATGAAGTCATAATTATGGGTGATTTTAATTTCAGGCAAATAGACTGGGAAATTCTAGAGTCAAACCATGAGGGAGAAAGGTTTTTGGAAACTATTCAGGATGACTTTCTTCACCAGTTAGTCAAGGAACCTACTAGAAACATTGCTATTTTAGACTTATTGTTAACTTTAAATACAGAAATGATTGATAGGGTGGAAATTGGGGAACATCTGTGTGCAAGTAATCATTGCTCTATTAGGTTCAATGTTTTGCTGCATATGGAGATAAAGAATAATGATTACAAGTTTCAAAAATGCAAATTTTGAAGGGATGCAACAAGAATTATCTGTTGTAAATTGGGCAGTTGAGTTATTTGGAGGCACTGATCAGATGTGGAAAATTTTTAAAGATAAATATTTAAATATTCGAAGTAAACATATTCCTTATAGCTACAAGTAAAAAAACCAGGTTGAGTCACAAAGAGTTTAAGAAATAAAATTAAAGATAAAACATCATAAATTTAAGAATTTAAATTGACTGGTATGACAGGAGATTTAGAAGATCAAGAAAGTTGGTGAA